ACATATGGCAACACAGTCCTGCTGCCATTTGCACATATTCTGCATGTACTCTCATAAAGTTAAACAACAATCAATTTTTTATAAAAAAGCTGTAATATACTAAAAGTATTTATTTGTTTGAACGTGCACACTCTAGCTGCGCATATATTGAGTGTAAATAACGTGTAAAATTAGTGGAAAGTGCATTATATATTGTGAAATAGTCCCATACAAGTTGGTGAAAATTACAAACTTTAATAACAAATTACTTAAAAACTATAAGGTTGCGCGCTTTAAAACTTTACATACACCCCCTTTAGAACCCCCTCTACCCCTCCTATTTTCCTTAATTCCGTAATCGGGGGTTACCATTCTAAAATTTTCCCCCAGAAAATCCTCTTTACAGATTTGCAGGAATGACTTTCGGAAATAAAAATTTCGAGGTGTAACTGCAACTGAAAGAAATGCAGTTATATATTTTGAAATATGATGTTTCGATTGGTGTTATGTGTTTAGATATCTCCTTTAGTTTCCGAGATATTGACTAAAAATTTTTCGATAATTTAGTAAATCACAACTTAAATAACACACAGACAAAATACACATAAAGAAAGAAACAAAACAGAATTAGCAACCTTCAAAATTACGAACGTCACACACTTTTCTCTCAATCGCTATTACAAATGGCTGCTTCTCAACCGGTCAGATCTGTTCTAATTGGTTCATGTATTTTTATGAGGATACAAATGTCTGGTAACGCAGGAGAAAGTGGAATTTTCTGCATTCACTGAGTAAACAAACCAAAAAGTAGTATCGGAAAGTTTGATTTTTGGAAATAAAAACTGCTTTCGAAAGTCACTTTGCATGCAACACTTTTGAAAATTCTTCAGTTTTACAGACTTTTAAAAAATTCTTGCACTTGCCACATCTAGCAGCTACTTAAGAGCCTGCCACAAGTGACAATGCAATATATATTTCGAAAAGGCTGTCAAATTGAGAAATTACAAGTAAAATTACAAGAAATTGCAAGAAATTGCAAGTAAAATGCCTTTCGAAATAGGTTTTTTATTTTCGAAAGGCGAATTGCAGATTGCTAGGTCAGCACGAGCAAGTGGAAATATAATTTCGAAATCGATTTGAGCTCCCTCAATAGCAGTCACATCTCTAACCTTTCCGGCTGTTCACTCTTCGAAATAAAATTTCTCTTTCTCAATTTGACAGCGAATTGCGTTGCAACGCTCTTAACTGTTTCTGCACCCTCTTTTGGACACATTCCAGTTTCACATACTTTCCTAAATTACTTGCACTTGCCACGTCTAACAGCTACTTTAGTTACTTCTGCTGTATATTCATTGAAAAATGTTGTGCAAAGGCAAAAGTTAAGAAATTGGATATTTCCATTTAATATAAATAACAAAAACTTTACATTCTTAAAACGAGTTAAAATTATAGTGGTAAATTGATTGCAAACAGTTGTTTAATGTTAAAACTTATTAAAAATATAAACAGAAAATTTTATCAAGTGCAGTGGAGGAAAGAAAATCAATAATAGCCGTCAAATGGCATAGAATTTTTTTTTTTTGGCTGGTTCTCGTCAGCTAAAGGGCCCAGCTCTATGAAAAGAATACATAAATATATTTTCTATGTGGTGATAAAAATAAAAATATTTTCAGAATTAACAAATTTTGCTAAAAGTTTAATGAATTCAGTGCGTCTACCTACAGAAAAACAGTAGCAGCGAATAAGAGGGTGCGAGTGCAAACGGGTTTACATACATGTTGGTGCTCCGCTGTACACAGGCCGCTTACGAGATGCGTTAAAAATTTGCTGTGGCCGGTGTAAAGCTTCAGTGAGCTAAATAGAAACGTGTTCACTAGCTATCAAAGTCTTTTTAACTACAGTGGGCAGGTGCAAAGTGCGATAATAGCTTTGAGTGGATCTACAAACATTTTAAAGTAATTGAAAAATTCTATACCTTATTACATTAAGAAAAATCGATATTTAAAGTAATTCCCAAAAGGGGATGCTTCCAGTTAAATATGTATGTACACATGTGTATGTACTACAAAGTGTATATAAACTAATGGACACTAAGCATAAACATACATACGTTTGAAACTCCGTTTGCCAGACTCGCAGAAAGTCTTTTCGTGCTTACGGCTATGCTATGCGGCTATGCGACCTCTATACCACTTGTCATTTAAGCTTTTGGTGTTTGTGTCCTGTTTAGCTGGAGCACAGCGGCCGAAGCGTGTCACCCTCAACGCCCAACACCTAAATCCACCCCCCATAAATACCAACCTATGTCTATAATATACTGAAACTCTGTGTGTATTAAACTGTATGTTCAAATGCATTAGATAATAGATACGTACATTCTTACGCATGTGCATACATACTTACATAGGTAAATACATATGCATACATACAATGTATGGTAAGTGGGTCGCTAGTAGAATCTCTCACCATGGGCTCCAAATTGGTTAAAAAGTAGAAGGCGACTTTCAATGTTTACTTTCCAAGCCCGGAGGACATTTTAAAGCTTTTTTAAGCAATTTTTTGGGTTTCCTTAACTTTTTCTTCATTTTCCTTATTGAACTTAAGGTTTTCTAATTTTTGACTAGTTTTTACTTTTGTAGTTTGTCTTGAAATGGGGCCACTTGCGGAAGTACAGTATCTACAAAATGTGTTCAACTCAATGTTTTGTTATTCCATTTCCCAGTAATATACACTCCGCAGTTCTATGCAGGTTTATCATTCGCTATATGTGGTACTTTGAAATGGCAGCATGCACTCGTAGAGTTTGTGCCATTGCAAACAAATACATCCATCGCGTGCATAGTCGCACCCCTCGTCTCGTACAAGCAGCCCAGATTTATGACCTAAATTCCTCAATTCCTGCGCCTGCATTCCATCTACCACCCACAATTTCGTGTATATTTGGAATTGTGTGTTCGCTGTTACTATTGCAACCTGCTACCCCCCTATTGGCAGTTATGTATCTCGTCCCATGAGAGAGGCAATGCGGCTGTCGTTTCGGCTGCTGCAATCCTGATATTTCCACTGATATGAAACAGAATATGTGAATTTAAACTTGATACATGTACCTATGTACGTATTAGGGATGTTAATCCCGTGATCCCAGATCTCGGACTTTTTTGAGTCCCGATATGTAATTTGCAATGGTGGCAAAAATATTCTTAATGTCTTATGTTGACCAGTTTTTGCTATATTTTTTTTGTTTAATATTTAAAATTTTTTTTATATATGTAGGTATGCCTAACTAATTATACATATATATATCACCGTGCGGCATCAATTTTACACACAAAAATCAATATATTCGCGAAGCCATGGGCCAAATATATGCAGTGAAATTGCGTTTTAGCTGTTCTCTCTGACGTCCGGATTTTTTAAAAGGACTTCAAAAATTTAATAATATGAGTGATTCAGAAAATGGTCAAAAAATGAGTGCAGTGTACTTAGGAAAATAGTATCGGTATCAAATTAGAGAGAAAATTCTGTAGAGATAGAACAGATTAAAGTTTTTAGTGCATAAGGTATTGAAAATGTCCTTAA